AATACTGTTTTTAGCGAATATTGTGATCACATATTAATTTCTTCAAAACGAGGAGGATATTGTGAATCCAGCCTCAAGAATTTTATTTAGTTATTAATTAACAACGTTTTAGAGGAGCTCTCTTTTATTATATAATTAACCCATTATCCATTCACATATACTGTCAAATTTTATTATTTAAAAATACTTTATAATGACTAGCTTGTACGAGGAGTTGAAATTTTTGGAATCAATTGCAACCATTTAATAATCAAAATATTATAAGTTGTTTGTGAATTCTCGACTATAGTATTAAAGAGTCTATATACTTAATTTTTATTTTTATCATGTCTCTTAAATAATCTTGCTTCCAACCACAAATTTGAATCGAGATTTGAATGGATTAAAGAATTGTCCTTGTTCTCTCCTTCAATTAACTATTGTATGTATCATAGAAAGAAAAAATAAATCCATCAAATTTAATGAAATTATAACTTAATAAAAAAATAGTTAAAGACCAACATACTATAAAGTGTTAAGCTCGGCTATCTATGAACTGTTGTACACTTTTTTGATGATCATCACTTTGCAAGTGCATTTTAATAAAAAGTTTCATCAGGCTTCACTCGCATTTAAAAACTGTAACTTATAAGATAAAAATGTTATCAGTTAAATATATTTATAAAAATAAAAGTAATAAAAGTAATAAAAAAATCTTACCATATGCTTCATATGCAAAATGAACATAATAGAACTACTGGCATACGTGGTAATGGAATCATGAACACGCTGGTGCTAGTTCTTTATATCGGATTATGATCGTTGAGTGAAACACACAAACATCATATGCTTAAAGTAGTTCACCCGTATAGCCTCTAAGATATATGATCGACTGCAATCTCAAATCGCCACGTCATTTCCTTTAGGAAGCTCGCTTTCTCTCGTATTTGTTTTGCTTTCTTCTATGCTTTGTATCAAAAATTATGTAACCAATAAGTTACCTATAAATTATCTATTAGTAAATAAAAAATAAAATTTTAATATTTAGTATAAAAAATATCCTGATTTTGAACTTGCCTAGTTGTAGTGTGATTTTCTCAAACCCTCACTTCAACATTATCATTAACTCTTTCCCATTCAAATTTTTTATTGCAGTAAAAATTGATAAAAGAAAATTTTCAATAATTTTAATAAACTAGCTAAATTAACATAATAGTAAAATATCTAAGTTAATATTAACCTTAAATCTTGAAAATTATGCATTAATATGCGGTTTCCATTCAGGATGTCTGGAAACCTGACTTTATGAAAACAATAGAATTTTCATTAATGATTTAAAGTTTGATTTTATTTTTTTTACAACCTCAATGTTTGTAAAGTTGAAATTGAATTCGTTAAATAAAATTATTTCTTAAAAAATTATTGAACATGTCATTGCAAAAAAGAAAAAAAATCATTCTTACATTGAAAGGTTATCCTTACACTAAACCTAATATTTACGGGTAAATAGATTTTGTTGTGAAAGGAATCCCCTTGAGATTGCAAAATTGCACTTGATGACCCCTTGTCATGAGTTGGTAGATATATATAATGTGCCTATTCTTAGTCAACATCTAATAACTCGTGGTTGTTAGCATTGCTTTTACAAGAACTAGGAATGATCATGTTTTTATGACGTGTAATAAACTTTCCTCGTGACATATACACAAATTAACAAGAATAAAAAACTAAACAAGTTTTATTTAAAAAACAAATTGGCAGCACCTCTTCTATATGAGAGGCAATGTAATATTTTTAAACTTGCAAATAAAAAACATATATGCCACAAACCAATTAATTTTATTCAATTTCTCATAAAATTCTCATTTCCTAAGTGGTAATATATTTAATCTTAAATTTAAAAAATTTAACCTAAATTACCAAAAATTCAAATAATAATTAAAGTTAATCCTACACCTTTAATTAAAACTGCACATCAAAATTGAAAGAAAAAACTAAAATTCAACAAGCAATTGAACTAAAATAATGAGAAAACAATAATGCAAAAAAAAAAAAGGAGACACAAATAGAGAAGAAAAGGAAATGAAAAATTCTTACTTTTATAGAGTGCTTAGTGTTGGGTAAGAATTAAAAAAAAATAACAAAATAAATTAATTCATTACACTCTTGATTGTAGAACAGACTTGAAAAATTCTAGATTGGCATATATAATAAGCCACCTTAAATGTATAATAACAAACTAAAGAATGAGGTTTAGTAGTTTCAGGCAAATGAAAGTAATGCAAGTAATGAAAGGAAGGTATAAAGAGTATATACATGGTGCAAAATCCTTAAAACGATAAAAAAAATAAAAAAAATCCTTAAAACGATAAAAAAAAATAAAGTGAATGGATAGTTATCAGAAGTTATATTGAATAGAATAAGATGAGTGGTTAGTTATCGGATCGTGAACTTCACTATTTAAAAAATGATTCAAGATAGAAGACACGAAAACAACAACAAATTAACAACAATAATTGCTTTGCAATTGAATAAAATTTGCAGGATCTTCAAAATTTATTTACGAGAAGGCTTATATGTAATCTCGTACGCTAATAACTTGTAGGCAATAGTTAATTTGTAAGCTTGTAATCTTGTAAACTTGTAGTTTCTATTACCTCAAAGAAGACACAGATAATATATTGATTCATGTTATTTCAACACATGGTTCTAATCAAGGTTATAAAAAGTATAATTTTTTACATGATATGAAAAATACAAAACATATTATAAAATAAAATATAATTTTATTTTTATACAAACAATAAGCAATTTTATTAATTAATTAAGATATTATGTACTTGTTTGTGCATGATAAAATCCTACCATACAAGATTAAAAAAATAAAATAAAAATGGTAGGTAAGATTCTATGTCAAAGAAAAAACATTGAAAATAATTATGTATCAATGTTCTTTCTAAATGCATGATCATCTTGTATTTTAGTCTATCCAGTGTCTTTTGTCTTGATAAATAATATATTATTTTTATTTATTGTTATATTTTTTTTAGATTTTGTTATATTTTATAAGTTTCATATATTATTTATTACCTACAATGAATTTTAACAAGTGGATTAACAAGAAATTGTAAATTTTATATGAATTAAAATAAATAAATCAAACAATTTAAACTATGATATTTAAAAAAAAAAATGATGTCTGATTCCTAGTTTATATCTTAGATAAATTATGATATTTTTTATAAAAAAAAAATCATAATGGTGTAAAGTTGTTTGAATTTAAGATGATTATGGGCGCTTTGGCTGGCTGGTTACATGACGGGGAGATTGTTTGATTCGAGAGCCCCTCCTTTGACCGTCAGCAATTCAAAGAATCCTCCAGAGGACATGAAAAACTTATTTTGTCAATTCCCTGCAACTTCATACAATGATTTTAACTCTTCAATCCACAATCTAATCTAAGATAAATTTAAAATTAAATCAAATAAAAGTTGATTCAATGGATTTAAAATTAAATTTTAAATTGAGGCTGGATTATTAACACTTGTCATAACCTAAGTCATTGTAAACACTCTATCTCGAGATGATGTTTAAGGCACACCGACTTTTAAATTGATGTTGAGGTTATATAATAATAAGAAAATGGTATTTATTATATAACAATAACAAAATTATTTAATTCACATATTAAATATATAATTATCAGGTGATAAAATCTATATATAAATATACGTCATCAGCGTCATCAGCATGAATTTGGATTTCGACTCGTTTTCATTTTCATATAGCAATTATTGACTTTCTCATGTAGATGGATTTCTTCAATAATCTTCCCCTTACAAAGTCTTCTATAATGGGATTAACCGATGATGATGTTGATTTAATTATCTTAAAAACTGTCAACCAAGTCTAAAATATAGGCACATTAATTAATTAACAAAGTAATATACACCAAATAAAGTGAGAAAAAAGAAATCAAAGGCACTATTATTACGATGAATGAAGTGTTGTTAAATGAACAAAATTCATGTTAGTATATCATATACAAAAAGAATCAACAAATCATATTAACAAGGAGGTACTTGATGATTAAGCTCCCAATTAATTAGCACTAGAAAAGCTTGCTTCCAAATTCTTCTTCAGTATCCTCAATATTTCTTAAAGAAGATGAAGCTGCAAGGTCTCTGAGGTCTGATAGGCTCCTGCCTAGCTGTAATGCCACCTTCATTTCATACACCTGTCCATTTTCTCTTCCCCATACATTTGTCTCGTTTATGTTTGATTCTATAGATTCTTCCATGAGCTTAAAGAAACCTGCATTGCTTCTATACATCTCAAATACCATCCCAACTTGGCCTCCATGCTCCAGTGCATTCACTACGCTTGCCAAGGCACCACCAGCAACTCCTAATATCACAGCCCATGGGTTGGTAGTTCCTACGAAAGCTGACCCCAAAGCTCCAAGACCGGTAAGTAGAGGACCAGAGAACGCCAGCATTTTGTGAGCTTTCAAGGCCTTTTCACTCAATCTCAAGTAATCTGCCTTGTCTTTTCTCTTCAAAACCCCAACAATTTCTCTCATTTCATCTTCCAACTCCCTATTCCACCCATTTCCTTCTATCTTCCTACCGAGCCCTTTCGCTTGTTTTCGCCTTTGTTGAGGCCACCAAACTGCAGGCTCTACACTTGATGGGTATTTTTCAAGCATGGCGCCTAATAATGGAAGTGGATATGCCTTGTCTAAAGCCAAAACATTCTCCGTTGCTTCGTTGACATCACTAGCAGTAGGAGTGCCAACGGACAACAAAGTTTGAATCTGGCCGTGAAGCTGCTTAAACAACCTAGCAGCATTCCTTTGCTCTTCAGCAAGTTGTGAAGGCTGGATCTTATTCATTATCGCCAACATTCCGGTTGCTGCAAGATATAGTATCGTCGAAGATACCTTGAGTCCTGCAAATGGTTCACCACTTGCACTAGCAGCTGCAAGTCCACACATGGTGGCTGCGGTGAGAGTCATAGCATGAATGGAACTCAAAAGCAGGTGGTTCCAGTTATCTCTTTGCTCTCCAATGTTCTCGTGCATCTCAATTCTATCTGCCACAGCCTCCATGATTGCGTAAAGCTTGGCAACCACCACTGGATCAGAACTACTGGTCTTGGGACCGAATCTCTTCTCCATTTGTGTAGTTACCGGAATTCCATAACCATCTGATCTAATGCTCAGTTCTTCAATAAAGTCTTTGCTAGATAGCCTTGGTAGAGATAGAGAGCCGATCCGGATTTTCGGTCCATTTATAGTGGCTCTAACTAATGTTTTATGACTGCAACAAGAGGATGAAGAACCTGAAACCACCATGCCTGAAACTTGAAGACTTGCCATGGTTGAGTCTATCAAATCTTACTATATATATGTCTTTGAAAAAAGTTGTTGTCGTGAATGGGATGGTGAAGGCTGGCTTGTGTTAACGTCTCAAGGCTCAGAAGTGAATTGGGCTTGAGGTTCAGAATCACATATACATACATATTTGAATGCCAAAGTTTATTATTTGAAAGTACTTTATAGTGACTAGCTTGTATGAGGAGTTTAAATTTTTAAAATCAATTGCAAGCATCTAACAATCAAAACACTATAAGTTTTTCGTAAATTCTCGACTGCAGTATTAAAGAGCTCACATATCTAATTTCTATTATGCCCCTCAAATGATCCTATTTTCAACCATAAATTCAGATCGAGATTCAGATGGATTGAAGAATTGTCCCCGTTCCCTCCTTCAACTAGTTATTGTATGTATCATGGAAAGATAAAAAATAAATCCATCAAATTGAATGAAATTATAACTTAATAAAAAAATAGTTAAAGAACAACATACTATAAAGTGCTAAGCTCGACTATCTATGAACTGTTGCACATTTTTTTGGCGATCATCACTTTGCACGTGCATTTCAATAAAAAGTTTTATTGGGCTTGACTCACATCTAATTAAAAACCGTAGCTTATAAAATAAAAATGTTATCAGTTAAATATGTTTATAAAAATAAAAAATAAAAAATGAAAATAATAAAAAAATCTTATCATATACTTCATATGCAAAACGAACATAATAGAGTTACCGGTATACATTGTAATGGGATCATGAACACGCTGGTGCCAATTTTTTATATTGGATTGTGATCGTTGAGTGAAACACACAGGCATCATATGCTCAATGTAGTCCACCCATATAGCCTCTAAGATATATGGTCGACTGCAATCCCAAATCGCCATGTCATTTCCTGTAGGAAGCTCGCTTCCTCTCATATTGTTTTTTGATTTTTTCTATGCTTTGTACCAAAAATCACGTAACCAATAAGTTACATATAAATTATCTATTAGTAAATGAAAAATAAAATTTTAATATTTAGAATAAAAAATATCTTGATTTTGAACTTGCCTAGTTGCAGTGTGATTTTCTCAAACCCTCACTCCAACATTATCATTAACTCATTCCCATTCAAATTTTCTATTGCAGTAAAAATTGATTAATTTTTTTTAATAATTTCAATAAACTAACTAAATTAACATAATAATAAAATATTTAAGTTAATATTAACCTTAAATCTTGAAAATTATGCATTAATATACGGTTTCCATTCAGGATGTCTGGAAACCTGACTTTATGAAAACAATAGAATTTTCATTAATGATTTAAAGTTTGATTTTATTTTTTTTACAACCTCAATGTTTGCAAAGTTGAAATTGAATTCGTTAAATAAAATTATTTCTTAAAAAATTATTAAACAAGTCGTTGTAAAAAAGAAAAAAATCATTCTTACATTGAAAGGTTGTCCTTACACTAAGTCTGGTACTTACAGGTAAATAGATTCTATTGTGAAGGGAATCCCCTTGACATTGCAAAATCGCACTTGATGACCCCTTGTTGTGAGTTGATATATGTACCTAATGTGCCTATTCTTAGTCAGCATCTAATGACTCGTGGTTGTTAGCATTACTTCTACAAGAACTAGCAGTAATCATGTTTTCACGACGTATAATAAACTTTCCTCATGGCATATACACAAATTAACAGGAAACAGAATTAAATAAATTTTATTTAAAAAACAAATTGGCAGCACCTCTTCTATATGAGAGGCAACGTAATATTTTTAAACTTGCAAATACAAAACATATATGCCACAAACTAATTAATTTTATTCAATTTCTTCCAACAAAATAGAATAATTTAATTTCTCATAAAATTCTCATTTCCTAAGTGGCAATATATTTAATCCTAAATTTAAAAAAAAATAACCTAAATTACCAAAAATTCAAAATAATAATTAAAGTTAATCCTACACCTTTAATTAAAACTACACATCAAAATTGAAGAAAAAAATAAAATTCAACAAAATAATTAAAAAATTATTACAATAACAACTAAAATTCAATAAGCAATTGAACTAAAATAATGAGAAAACAATAATGCAAAAAACAAAAAAGGAGACACAAATAGAGAAGAAAAGTGAATGAAAAATTCTTACCTTTATATAGTGCTTAGTGTTGGGTAAGAATTAAAAAAATAACAAAATAAATAAAATTTTTTGTTAAAACACCTAAAAAATAGAAAAATAATGAGAAAATGACAACATATTTTAGGATGAGAAAAGAAGATGATACTTGATTTTAGCTTGGTTCATGAACAAAGATAAGATTGAAAAAGATAGAAAAAAAATATAGATAAAAAAACGATTGTTTAATTGCAATGATATATGTTCATCTAGTCAAAATCCACTTGAAATTTAATTTGAATTAAAAATAATTTTATTTTAACTTAAAAAAAAATCTTGAATCAATTTTATTTTGAATTAATTCATTACACTCTTGATTGTAGAACAGACTTGAAAAATTCTAGATTTGCATATATAATAAGTCACCTTAAATACATAATAACAAACTAAAAAATGAGGTTTAGCGGTTTCAGGCAAATGAAAGTAATGCGAGTAATGAAAGGAAGATATAAAAAGTAGACATGGTGCAAAATCCTTAAAATGATAAATAAAATAAAGTGAAGGGATAGTTATCAGAAGTTATATTGAATAGAACAAGATGAGTGGTTAGTTATCGGACTTGAACTTTACTATTTAAAAAATGATGCAAGATAGAAGACACGAAAACAACAACAAATTAACAACAATAATTGTTTTGCAATTGAATAAAATTTGCAGGATCTTCAAAATTTATTTACGAGAAGGCTTATATGTAATCTCGTACGCTAATAACTTGTAGGCAATAGTTAATTTGTAAGCTTGTAATCTTGTAGTTTCTATTGCCTCAAAGAAGACAAATAATATATTGATTCATGTTCTCTTGTCAAGGACTTTCAATACATGATTTTAATTAAGATTATTAAAAATATTTTGTTTTATACCATACGATAAATAGAATGTGAATTTAGATTGTAAAAACATATTATAAAATCAAATATAATTTTATTTTCATACAAATAATAAACAATTTTATTAATTAATCAAGATATTGTGTACTTGTTTGTACATGATAAAATCCTACCATGCAAGATCCAAAAGAAAAAAATTAGAAGTGGCAGGTAAGACTCTATGTCAAAGAAAAAACATTGAAAATAATTATGTCTTCACAACTATACTTCTTTATTAACTAGCACTAGTTTTAATGTTCTCTCTAAATGCATGATCATCTATAGTGTTTTAGTTTATCTAGTATCTTTTGTTTTGATAAATAATACATCATTTTTATTTATTGTTATTTTTTTTTAGATATTGTTATACTTTTATAAGTTTTATATATTATTTGTTACATACAATGAATTTTAACAAGTGGATTAATAAGAAATTATAAATTTTATATGAATTAAAATGAATAAATCAAACAATTAAAACTATGCTATTTTTTAAAAAAATTTGAAGTCTGATTCCTAGATTATATCTTAGATAAGTTATGATATTTTCTAAAAAAAAACAATCTTAATGTTGTAAAGTTGTTTGAATTTAAGATGATTATGGTAGCTCCCTCAAGTATTATAATCATCTTAATAATTAATGAATCTATAAATGTTTACAGGTAACTAGTTGCATCTAAAAGATAAATTAAATATGTCTAACGTATATATATATAAATTAACTAACTATTCAAGTAATTGTCTAAAACAAAAATATGGTGTCGAAGCACTTTCAGTCCTTTGAAACTTAGTTTTATAATTTTCTTCTTACAAAGAAAAGTGAATTCGGTAGACCAAGATTTTAAAATACAATCAAATACAAAAAATTCAGAAATTGTTTTTTTATAAGAAAACACAAACAAATCCTTAATTTGTAATAAGAAAAATCAATTAGACTATTTCCTGCATTAAATGCAACGTCTAAATTTGGGCGCTTTGGCTGGCTGGTTACATGATGGGGAGATTATTTGATTCGAGTGTCCCTACTTTGACCTGCAGCAATTCAAAGAATCCTCCAGCGGTCTTGAAAAACTTATTTTATCAATTCTAGCCCTAACAGTGTTATTAAACCTCATTCCTGGCAAGTTAATACAATGATTTTGCGGGTTAACTCTTCAATCCACAATCTAATCTAAGCTAAATTTAAAATTAAATCAAATAAAATTTAATTCAATGGATTTAAAATTAAATTTTAAATTGAGGCTGGATTATTAACACTTGTCATAACCTAAGTCATTGT